GGTCTGCAGCCTGCCAGCCTGGTCATGGCGCACAGCTTGGCAAGCGGTAAGGTTAGGTCGGGCATGTCCCCCGTACAGGCGGATCCTGGGGCGAAAGGAAAACGGTCAAGACGTACCCGAAACCTGCCCAAACATAGTCAAAACCTCCTGCAGCGACCTTAGCGGTAAGGAGCCGAGCGGAGCGAGCGAGCGAGGCGCCGAGCAGCACGTGCGGCGAGGCGCGCGCACGCGCGTGCCGCACGTGCTCGCGCGAGGCGAGGCGCGCGAGGCCGCAGCCGCTCCGAGGCTGCAGCGAGCGTGTCCGCACGAGGTGCACCGCGACTGCACCGCTGCCCGCAGCCGTGCGGCGTCGTTGCCGCCGCAGCGTCGGTCTTTGCCGCGGTCTCGCGGCGTCACGAGGACGGTAGGGAGGAGGAGGAGGAGGAGGAGGAGGAGGAGGAGGAGGAGGAGGGAGGAGGAGGAGGAGGAGCGAGGAGGAGCGAGGAGGAGCAAGGAGGAGCGAGGAGGAGGAGGAGGAGGAGGAGGAGGAGGAGGGGGAGAGGAGGAGGAGGAGGGGGAGGGGGAGGGGGAGGAGGAGGATAGGCGGAAGAGGAGACGGAGGAGGCGGAGGAGCGAGGAGGAGGAGGAGGAGGAGGAGGAAGAGGAGAAGGAGCGAGGAGGAGGAGCGAGGACGAGGAGCAGGAGGTGCGATGATGAGGGCGAGGAGCAGGGGATGCGATGCGGTGACGAGCAGAATCTCGCCGCGCCACCCATGAACTCACGAAAGCGGTGACAGTGGCGCAGATGGCAGTCCCTCCAGGGAGGCAAGGTCTCGTTTGGATCACGTCGGCTCGGCGCTCCTCGGGACCACCCAGGACCTCACGCGGAAGTGACGACAGCTGCGCAATTGACGGCATCCGGGGCGGCGAGGTCTACTGTGGATCCCCTCAGCTCCGCACTCGGCTGGACCACCCAGGAGCTCACCAAGGCGGCGGCAGCTGCGCGGATGGCAGCACGCAGGGCGGCGAGGTCTACTTTGGATACCCTCAGCTCCGCGCTCCGTTGGACCTCCCAGGAGCTCACAACAGTGGCGACAATTGCGCGGATGGCAGCCCCCTGGGAGGCGAGGTAGGAGGCATTCAGGAAGCAGGCAAGTACTCGAAATCCCTTAATAAGCGACCCCCCCTAAAAAACCAGACCCCCTTTCAACGGCAACCTATTTTCCGGACTCCCCTGTCAACGGAGGGCCTCAATACTCCGACCCCCCTCGTCTTCGGTTTAAAGAAACCGCCCTACTAAACCGGACCCCCCACTTCCAAAAACAGCGCCCTAAAAAACCAGACCCGAGGGACGATTATTAGGGAACTTCGAGTAGGGGGAATAGGAAACAGGTAGGAAGTAGGAGCCAGGCGCAGGGAGGGAGGCGGGAGGACAGAACGGGGGAGACGACCGCGGTGCTCTATGCCCGAACAGAAACCATGACCGATGCAGCTTTTTTGGTCGGTGGATCTCTCAAGCTCTCCGCCGCCTCTCGCGATGTGCGTTGCGAGCAGGAACACAGCAAAGCCACAGGAAAACGCGACATTGACAGTGTAGCTCCGCACACGTGACACATGTTAACGAGCAGGACTGATACCGACACTGTCCTCGGACAGCTGACTTCCAGATGGTCTGGGAGAGCACCAACACTGCCCAAGAGTGCTCACAGAACATTTCAAAAATGGCCCAGGGCAGCCCCAAGAGGCCCCGAGCACGGCTCGAGACAACCTTGGGGGGAGTCCAAGACAGACAAAGAAGGCTGCAAGAAGGCTCCAAGAGGACGTCAGAACAGCTCAAGAGAGTCCCCTGCCCCCAGGCGTTCCGAGACAGCTGAAGAGGGCCCAAGATACATCCAAAAGAAGGCCCCCAAGAGACTCCCGGGAGGTCCCCCGAGAGAAACCAAGACGTTTCAACCATCCTCGAAAACCTGGAAAGCTGCACGCTTCGAACTCTGTCCCCGTCTCAGTCATACTGGCGACACTCCACGACGGCCCAAGGAGTCCCCGAGATCGCTGGTAAAGAAGCCTCGAGACCATGATTGGAACCCAGGATGCCGCCAAAGAGAGTCCGAGAGCCATCCAGCAGCCCTCTTGTCCCCGAGCCAGGTGCGATTGTGGGATGGGCCGCAGGCCACTAGATACGCCGTCCTGACCAAGGCCAGGAAGGTATGCACACCATCCTGGGTACCAGGCATGGTGGAGGCGTGTAGAAGCCTTCTGCCGAATGCTCGTGTCCGAGTCGGGCGGACCGAAGTCGCAGCTACAGACTCCAGCATCGAAGGTGACTTCCTCGGAGAATGAACAGCGACTCATCGGTCGGCTCGGAACGAACGCACACAAGCCAGGAGGACTATGCGCAGACCACTGTGAAATCCACACCGTTGCCGGCTTCAATCACTGCCTATGCTCGTGCGCGACCATCGCCAGACCTCGGACGTCGTGCTGTTTTCACATGCCAAAGATTATTGTTCGAGATTCGGCTT